CCTGTCCTGGGAGTGTTTGATGGGGATAGTGTAGAGGAAGTTTTACTCTGTTTCTCACCCTGTATTTGTTGGAGACAGTGTTGAGGGACATTTGCTTTCTGTTTAAAAGACTAGAGGGAAGGTTTACTGTATATCTAACCCTGTGCTGACCCTGTCCTGGGAGTGTTTGATGGGGGACATGTTGAGAAAGCTTTGCTATCTGTTTAAAAGAGTAGAGAAAGCTTTGGTCTGTGTGTAATCAAATGCTGACCTGTCCTGGGAGTGTTTGAATGGAACTGTGCAGTGGGAGATTTACTTAAAGATTGAAAGAGTAGAGAGAGCTTCACTCTGTATCTAACAGAATGGCAGCATGAGTGATGCATGAAAGTGCCCCTGTTCAGAAAGGGAATGATGGTCCTGCCCATGTCCTCTCGAAGCCTTGTGCATGAGCAGCTGCAGTGACATCCCATACACAGCCACAGCATTCACATCCACTTCCTGAAGTTGCTGCTATGCACAGAACTTTGAGGCCTGTGTGGAAGAAAACAAATGAGAGGGAACACTGATCCCCACTTCTCTTTTCTTCGAAGCACGTTCAAGTTCCAACCTTTCTTTCCTGGTATTTCTGACAGTTTCTTAAAACCCGCTCCTTTCTTTTGAAAACAGTCAGGGAGCTGTCTGCTGCTATCCACCCATTTCAATTTGGAGATTTCTTTGTTCTCCAGCATCCTTATTGACCCTCAATCTTTTCTCATTTCCGTATTTTGTGGGTGTAGATTCTCCCATCGTGGCTTGTCATTGATGTAACACTCAATGGCTATTGCCACTGAATCGTTTTTATAGAAATTTTTCCAAAGCAAAATCTCATGTCTACCAGCTCAACAAGAGTGAAAGTTTCTGCCACTGAGGCATTTCTTACTGCTCTTCAGATCATTTACTTCCATCTCCCACAAGGGAAAGGATGAACCTTCCTGCATTTGCCAATCCATCACTGAGAAGCTCCACTAAAGATGCTGGGTTGAATCTCATGTCTTTTTCATACAATCACTCCAGTGTGAAAGCAGGCCATTTGTGGCCCATCAAAATCACACCCACCCCACCCCATCAACCCTGCACTTCCCATGGCTAACCCACTTAGCCTGCACATCCCTGGACACTATGGGGGCAATTTCCCATGGCCAATCCACCCTAACCTGCGCATCTTTGGATTGCGGGAGGAAACCCACACAGACACTGGGAGAATGTGCAAACTCCACACAGACAGTCACCCGAGGGTGGAATTGGAGCCAGGTTCCTGGTGCTGTGAGGCTGCAGGGCTAACCACTGAGCCACTGTGCCACCCTTTTCTGTCCAAGTGTAATTTTTGTTGCATTTCAGAGAGGGTTCCTCCCCGCAACGCTGCCTGAGTTTTCTTGCGCTAACATTGCAAACGTGCTACATCAACTGCCTACCAATGGCGTCTCTCTCGTCTGATGCTAGTGTGATCCCCCCTACTCACCATAGCCAGAAGAACGCGCCACTGCCTGGATTTCATGGGGCATACTGCCATCCCTGGCACCAGCGCCGCTGTGTACCTGGAGAAGTGTTGGCAGTCCAGAGCTGCCCTGTGCTGTTTGTGAGATTTGCCCTGGACATGACGGAGAAGGGTGACCAGGTACCCACTTGGCAGACAGGGACCTGGAGGCCCTGGTTGGTAAGGGAGTGTGCAGAGGGCTCCATTCACTCCGCCTGGACTGGCACTGGAAGACACAACGCCAGACTCTCACAGCCTGCCACCCAGGTCAATACAGTGTCAGCCATTGGAACGAACACCAAGCTGTGGAACGAGAGGTCAGTGACCTTCAAGCTCTGCAAGGGTAAATGACCCCAACGACTGGAGACCCCTATTTAAGACAGAGATAAGGACGAATTCCTTCTCTCAGAGGGTAGTGAATCTGTGGAATTCTTTACTGCAGGGGTGTCAAGGCTGGGTCATTAAGTATACTCGAGGCTGAGATAGTGTTTAATCAGGAAGGGGATCAAGGGTTATGGGGAAAAAGATGATCACATCAGCCATGACCTTATTGAATGGTGGAGCAGATTCGATGGGCTGAATGGCCTAATTCCAATCCTATGTCTGATGATGTCAGAAGCTACTCCTGACATGCTGTACCGGGACCACCTGACTGAAGCATGTCTTTCTCGCTCTAACTGAGCACTTGGACCCTTCCAACTTCAAGAGCTGGCTGTCTGGTTGAAGCTCACTCAATGTGCCTGCTGTGCCAGCTGCTGGCCACATGGTGTCAGTGTAAAACTGGTGTTGCATGGTGCCGTCAAGCAACGTGCCCATCTTGACTGGTGCCTACCATAATAGACTGGCTGGCTTTGAGTCTATTGCAAACAGGCAAGGCAGGGCAATGCAGCGATGCTGGGAGCATCCAAGTTGGCGCTAAGCGAGTGAGTGAGCAACACTGACATGAAGCCTGGTCCAATCCATGAGCTTAGTGCTTATCCCTGTGTGCAAAGTGTCCTTGCTGTAGCATTTCAATGAGAGGTACCAAAGTGCAGCATTGAAAAGCCAAACTCTACTGTCAGTGCCACGTTAGCGCAAAGGGGCTGACACATGTTGGATGCTAACATCCGTGGATGTGGGATACATGCAGCCGCTGCCTAGGGAGTGTGTCCAAGATGGCAGCCCTGAGGAGCAAGTGGCGAGCTGAAGTCATCTGCCTGGCCTTTCACATCGGGACTTCTCAACGTCTCATTTCTATCCAGCAGGTGAGAGGATGGGAAACTACAGAGTGGTGAGGTGAGAGTCAGTGTTAATGAGAGAGATGACAAGCAATAATCCTCGCTAATAGGTCTCTTGCCGCTCACTAGCAACAAACATGCCTCGATGCCTGGAACTCTATTGGAAAATGAGTCTCATTGTCTCAAGGTTTAGCAAGGTCTCGTTCAGCACCTCATGGGATTCTCCCAGATTTCTCACCATAACCCATGTCATTCAGGGCCTGGGAAGATTGTGCTCTAGAAGTTTCATGTTCCTGGCATCTCCCAATGCTGGAAAACTCGAAACGCAATGCTCACTTTTTAATTTTTTCAATGGTTTGTTTGCCCAAACAATATCTTCCACCTTGGGATTTAGCTGTAACATTTCAAACCTGGCATCTGGCTTTGTTCAGGTGCCCAGCCAATTTAGCTGTCCAATTAGACTTTGCAATTGCTCCATCTCAGTTTTAGACATTTCTGCATCTTTTCATCACGTTCTACTTTGACCAACTGCAATGGGGCGAACATTTTCCAAATAAGATGACTGATGCAATGTGACCCTTGATCCATTCTGCCTGATTTCCAAACCAGTATATTTAAAAGCTCCCTGAGGCCTGACTTCCAATTTTAAATCCTGTTTTAAGTCCATTTTTGACAATGTTTTCAAATTCACTGCAAATAAGCTGGGGCTATTTTCCCTGGAGCATCGGAGACTGAGGGTTGAACTTAAAGAGGTTTATAAAATCATGAGGGGCATGGATAGGGTGAATAGCTAAAGTCTTTTCCCCCAGAGGTGGGAGAGTCCAAAACTAGAGGGCATAGGTTTAAGGTGAGAGAGAAAAGATTTAAAAGGGACCTGAGGGATAACTTTTCCATGCAGAGGGTGGTGCCTGTATGGAATGAGCTGCTAGAGGAAGTGTTGGAGGCTGGTACAGTTACAGGAAGGAATGTGGAAGCTTTGCAGAGGGTGCAGAAGAGGTTTATCAGGATGCTGCCTGGATTAGAGAGTATGAGCTATAAGGAGAGGCTAGAAAAACTTGGGTTTTTTCTCTGGAGGCTGCGGGGAGATTTGATAGAAGTTTATAAAATGATGAGATGCATAGATAGGGTTGATGATCAGAATCTTTTTCCTAGAGTTGAAATGTCTAAAACCAGGGTACATGCCTTTAATGTGAGAGGGGGAAAGTTCAAAGGACAAAAATAAAAATTGTTGGAAAAGCTCAGCAGGTTTGGCAGCATCCGTGGGGAGAAATCAGAGTTAACGTTTTGAGTCCAGTGACCCTTCCTCAGAAAGTTCAAAGGAGATGTGAGGGGCAAGATTTTTTACACAGAGAGAGGTAGGTGCCTGGAACATGCTACCAGGGTTGGTGGTGGGGGCAGATATGATAGGGGTGTTAGAGGGGCTTTTAGATAAACACATGAATATGTAAGGAATGGAGGGATATGGAGCAAGGGCAGGCAGAAGGGATTAGTTTAATTTGGCATCATGTTTGGCACAACATTGTGGGCTGAAGGGCCAGTTCCTGTGCTGTACAGTTGTATGTTCTGTGTTCTAATTTCTGCAATTAAAACATTTAAAAGGCATCTGGATGGGTATATGAATAGGAAGGGTTTTGAGGGATATGGGTCAAATGCTGGCAAATGGGACTAGATTTATTTAGGATATTTGGTCGGCACGGTCAAGTTAGACCGCAGGGTCTGTTTCCATGCTGTACAGCTCTATGACTCTATCTGAAACTAGAGACTCTGAAAGCTGCTCTTTATGGCACCGGTAAAACATGGGAGGGTTTGCTTTTAACTGAAGATAACCCAATTTTAATAAGACAGACCTTACTGAGAAATACCAAACTTTACAGACATAATTTAGGTTGCACACACAGTTATTTAATTTCCAAAGTGTCCCCATTGTGTTTGGTGCCTCTTCTGGAGGGTGAAGAAACATTTCCCACTTGAGTTGATCTCCCTGCAGAAATGCAGCTTTTATATCAATTCATCTATATTGCTAAGCATTTGTTGCTATCTGTTATGAAGATGTCCACAATGAAGATGTCTTTTTCGTTATCCCTCACCTTGAAATCCTGGCTATGACCTTGTTGAAATCCTTTGCGAAGGGCAAACTTACTATACGATAAGTCTATAAGACTTAGTTGGCAAGGGAGCACTAATAATCAAGCCCCACTATTCCACAAATGACTAAATACCCAAATTAAACCACCAAGATTTGCTTTTGTTTGCTATTGACTGATTGACTATATTTAAGACAAGACTAACTCACACCAGGCTTCAGCATTGACAGGAAAATAGCTCTTTCTATTGTAAAGAAACTTACTCTGTAAAAAATGGCAAAAGATGAATTACTACACACACACATGTACATGCGCACACATGCACACATGCACCCACACACACGCACACACACACACACACACACAATCTACACACACACACCTACACACACACCCACACACACACACACACAATCTACACACACACACGCACACACAATCTAACACACACCTACACACACACACCTACACACACCTACACACACAATCTACACACACACACACAATCTACACACACACACACACATCTACACACACACGCACATGCGGACAAAAATTGAACTTTGACTCAAAAATTATGGGCAGGGAGAACAATTTCTGTTGACCAAAAGTCCAGATGACAATGCGAAGAGTTATTTCTCACAGCTCTTTTGGCATTAGCATCATAGCACAATGTTATTTGCAGAGCAATGGTCGATCTTTGATTCAATAGGTGATTGGGTGGACCGAGGCCTTTTCTTGTACTATAGTTGCCTTTGAATCTCTGGGATGTCTTTGTCTTTTCACTCACATAGAGAAAAGGGGGAGAGAGAGAGAGACATTCCCTGGCTTCTGGATGTCTCAGGCTGCACTGCACTCAGGACTATGACAAATTGTAGCCAGATAATCCAAAGGTGAAAAAGAGGCATTTGCTCCTTAACTTAGAGGTTCCTGATGTGACTGTGTCTCATAATGCACACAACTCACTGCGCTGAAGAGTAACATATTCTTTAATAGAAACCACATACCACACAATCCCACTTGATCTTCAAGTTATAGAGTCATACAGTCACACAGCATGGAAACAGACCCTTCGGTCCAACCAGTCCA